CACAAGCTAAAAATCCTGCAAATAGTACCTCTCATCAGAGATAGAGCAAGTGGTGGGTGTGTTTTGTACAAAATTAAGTTCTGGACAGGAAGTGGGTGAGAGAGCATATAAAGAAGTTACAAGAACATATCCCCCTGTAGTAGAAGGAAAAAAAGGGCTTGTTTGAAGTTGAACAAATCCCTTCTGCAGAACTTGCTTTGGGTCTGAGAACATAGTTACTCAGCAAACTTATCTCTTTGCTAAACTGAGATTGGTCTTAGGGACATGCCAGTTTCCCCTGGCCACTCAGACTACCTTTAGCAGCTTGCCACATCCACCTCTAGACTGGATATCTGGATCTAGTTTAACCAATCTTCTCAAAACAAACAGTTCACACAGCCTCTTTTCCCTTTCTCCCTGCTTTGTCCAGCAGTACTGCAGAGGCAGCTTAATAACAAGAGATCTCCTTACTTGCTCTCTTTTTTCCAGAAATTATAGGCTATTAATGAACCTTTTCTACTCCAGATGAATTTTAGAATCAGATTGTCAGATTCCATAAACAATCCTATGAGGATCTTTTTGTTTGTTTACAGTACTGGGGATTAAATCCAGGGCCTTGTGCATGCTAGGCAAAACAAAAATGTAAACAACAAAAGTATAACCTAATAAATAACCGGACAAGTGAATAGAGCTGATAAATACATGAAAACATATTCAACATCTATAGCCACAAAGGAAATACAAATCAAAAGTATAATAAGATTCTATCTCACCCCAGTCAGAATGGCAATCATCAAGAAAACAGTAACAAATGCTGGCGAGGATACAGGAAAAAAGGAACCCTCATATACTTTTGGTGGGAATGTAAACTAGTACAACCACTATGGAAATCAGTATGGAGGTTCCTCAAAAAGTACAAAGTAGACTTAACTTACGACCCTGCCACATCACTGAGCATATATCCAAAGGAGTGCAAATCAATATACGAGACATACCTGCAGACCCATGTTTATTATAGCTTTGTTCACAATAGCCAAGCTGTGAAATCAGCAAAAGTGCCCAACAACCAATGAATGGATAATGAAAATAAGGTGTACATATATACCATGGACTAGTACTCAATCACAAAGAAAAATGAAATGTCATTTGTAGGAAAATGGATGGAACTGGAAATCACCATGTTGAGAGAGATAAGCCAACCTCAAAAAGCCAAATAGTGCATGTTTTTGCTCATTTGAGGAATCTAGACCTTAAAAGATGGTAACAATAATGGGATATGAAGGTAAAAGGGAGATTGTTGGCTGCGGGGAGGTGGGGGGAATCAGCATTACATATATATAAAGATAGTAGTATAACCAACAAAAACTAAAACAAAGGGGAGGGAGGGAAGGAAGGGAAGGGAAGATAAGAGATGGGCTGAATTTGTTCAAAGGAATTATCACAATGAAACTCTCTTGCAATATTAATTTATGCTAATTCAAAAATAAAATTAAATTTGAAAAAATATATATATATGAATTTAATTTATGAGAAAGGTGGGACTTTTTTGGGGGATAATGACAATCTAGTCAAAAAAACGGTGTTGGGGAAGCTGGGCGTCAATGGTTCATGACTTGTAATCTTAGCTACTTGGGAGGAGATTGGGAGGGCTGAGGTTCGAGGTCAGCCAGGGCAGATAGTTCACAAGATCCCATCTTAAAATAACCAGAGCAAAATCCACTGGAGGTGTGGCTGAAGCGGTAGAGTACCTGGTAGGTGAGTGCCTGCTTTGCAAGTATGAAACCCTGAGTTCAAACCCCAGTTCCACCAAAAGAAATGGTGTTGGGGGTAAATGACTACCCATGCGGGAAAAATAAAGTTAAGATTCTTACTTCCCACAATTCATAAAACTAAGAGAAACAAGAGAAAGAGCTAAATATTTAACTTCTATACAAGTTTTAAATGAGAAGTATAGAAGAAACTTCTACATGTTAAAATACTATAATAAAATTAAAATGCAACAGACTAAAAGAAAATATTTTCTACAAAGAGAAAGAGCTGAGAGGGCTGGAGGCATGGCTCAAGTGGTAGAGTGCCTACTTGGCAAGCAACAAGCCCTGAGTTCAAACCCCAGTACCAGCAAAAAAAACAAAAGAAAGAGCTGATTGGGTGGGGAGGGCCAGTCTGTGCAATGGTCCTAAGGCAGGGATTGGTTTGTGGAAAAATAAACCATAAGAAGAGCAAGTGGATAGATAAGGATAGGGGATGGAACAGAGATGAAAGGGGATGTCAGAAAGGAAGGTAGCATCAGATCATGCAAAACCTTGAGGATAATAGCTAAAAGTTAGGATTTCTCTATATTTGTTATGGGAAACCACTAGAGGTTTTAAGAAGAGCAAGATAACCAGGTGTGGTGATTCACACCTTTAATCCCAGCACTTGGGAGGTTGAAGCCAGCCTGGGCTGCACAAGAAGTTTCAGGCCACAGTAGGTTACATATCAAGACTCTGTCTGAAAAAAAAAAAGAACAATGTTTGCCACTTGACTATGATGCAGAGAGAAAGATTAGAACACAGAAGTGAGGTAAGGAGACAGCCAGGAAGCTGGGACTTCAGCAGAAAGACTGATGGCCCTAGAGTAATACTCCTCTTTCTCCATGCTTCTATTTGTCTTCTCCCTATTGAAATTCAATGATATGGAGGCCTGCATAGACATGAGGAAAAAAACGTGATTCTCTTCACAACCAAAAAAGAAAATATTTTTCAACATGTCTAGAATATATAAAAAGCACTCCAACAAATGTAGAATAAGTAAGAACTCTTACAAGGGCTGGGAATGTAGCTCAGTGGTAGAGCGCTTGTCTAACATGTGAAAAGCCTGGGTTTGATCCCCAGCACTATGAAAAAACAAAAAAGAACAAAATCAGTTTTTAAAAAACCCAATAGAAAAATAAGTGAAAGAATGGAATAGAGTCAATAAACATATAAAACAAATTGAAACACCCACCTTTTGCTATGGGATTAAAAAGGCTGATAATTGGGCTGGGGGTGTGGTTCAATTGGTAAAGCACCTGCCTTGAAAGTACAGAGCCCTGAGTTCAAACCCTAGTATTGCCTCCCCGCATACAAATGGCTGATAATACCCACTTCTGGCAAGGTTGTAAGGAAACAGGTATTTCTCTTGCACTGCTCAGATACTGGCCCTTTTGGAGGGGAATTGTTACAGATATATTGTTAACAGATATGTACCTGGTACATAACCTTCAACCCAGTCAGTCTATCTACCCTAGAGACATATTTAACTGACATAAGGGCAGAAAGGATTATCACAAGGATTCATTGCAACATTATTAACAATAAAACTCAGAAACGACCTAAATGTCAATCAGTAGGGAATGATTAAACATGATATACATATATGCTATACATACGATGTAGCAAGCAGAACTCTGTGTATTGATGAACCTGTATACACTGATGTTTATATACTATCTCTGTCTCTCTCTCTCTCTCTCTCTATATATATATATATGTATGTACATATATGTGATGTATATATACTAATGGTGAAAGCTTCCAAGCAAGTCATAGAAGCATACACATTAAACCAAACTACACATCCCTTTTCTCTCCCTCTCTATCTTTACATGTGTACGACACAACAAAAGGAAAGGTATAAAAGAAACTAGGTTCAAAAGTGGAAAAGTGTTAGGCATAAGGAATTTTTACTTTCTCTGGTTTTAATCTTGGTCAAGGAACATTAACTGTATTTGTATACTTTTTGAAAATATTAATAGAAACCCGTATTAAAATTATCTGCATAATACAAACCAGTGCTTTATACACTGTAGTATTCAACAAATCTTAGCTTAAAAAAGAACTCGCTTTTTAGGATCCATTTCTTAAATCTAAAAAGCCCAGTGAGGTCATTATAGTTGTCCATTAGAATCCAAAGGAAACTAGTTCCAGGTACTCCCCTACAGCCAATCTGTGGATACGAAAGTCCTTTAGAAAAAATGGTGTAGCATTTGCATATAACCAATGCATATGGTCCCATATACTTTGAATCCTCTCTATACAAAATACCTGAAACAACATAAATGCTATGTAAATAGTTGTTATATGGTTATCAGTTAGGGGGAAATGACAAGAAAAAACTCTGAGCCTCACACTGCCTATAATTCTAGTTACACAGGAGGCTGAGATCAAGAGGATCATGGTTTAAGAGGCCAGCCTGAGCAAAAACTTCATGAGACCCTATCTTGACCAATAGCTGGGTATGGTGGCATGTGCCTGTCATCCCAAACTGGAGGCTGACAGGCTGAGATCAGGAAGACTGTGGTCCCAGGCCAGCTGGGCAAAAAAATTGTGAGATTCCACTCACAGTGTAAAAAACCTGGGAGTAGTGGCGTGTGTTACTGAGTGACAGCAAAAAGTGTAAAACAGGAGGATCTCAGTCCAGGCAGAAAGCAAGACCACATCTCCAAATAACCAGAGCAAGAAGGGCTGGAGGTGTGGCTCAAGTGGTAAAGTGTCTGCCTAGCAAGCACGAAGCCCTGAGTTCAAATCCAGTAACATCAAAAAAAGTCTGCACATGTTCAGTCCAGATGTAATTTTTCCCAAGTATTTTTGGTCCATGGTTGGTAGAATCCATGGATGTAGAGGGCTGACTATATAAATGTTTGAAAGGGATGAGCTGGCTAACACAGAACATAAATAATACAGGTGGTGGAAAGAGAGTAAGTATGAGGACAAGAGATGCCAGAGTGAAAATTGGACAGTACTAAAAACAGATGATAGCTTATGAAGCTACTATTTTTTAGAGCTTCCCATGAACAAGACACTGGGTCAGGTGCTCTGTGAAGGTATAATCTCTAATTCTTACATCAATCTGTGAGATATACCAATTTCACAAAATAAGAAAACATGGCTCAGAGAAATTAAGTACTAGTCTTAAGGTCACATCTTTATTCACTACAAGCAGTTCTCTCTTGTGACTGGGATTGAGACTGGAGTTGACCCCACATGCTTAGCTGCCCTTACTATACTCTGCGTCCTTGAAGCATGCTCCCAAGCTGTCCTGTTCATCCAGACTGGCATTCTCCTCCTCCTCCTCGCTCTCAGTTCTCCAGTATGCTGGCCTCTTGATGGGCCGCTTCCCTGGAGTGCGCTGGGAAGCAGGACTGCTAGACACTGTACCCAGCCCACTGCTGGAGCTCGTACTGCTTCGGTCCTGCCCCCCGGTCCACCAGGCCTGCAGACTGGAGGTAGCTGGCGAAGATGATGAGGACTGCAGGTTGGCCATACACAGCATGCCCTGGATGGCCTCCTGAGTGCTGGGGGAGGCTGGGGCCTCACTGCAAGGGAAAGAGGAGAAATGCTGAGGGAGTTTCTCTAGTTATCGGAAGAAACTAGTTATGAGAACAATAAGGAAGGAGGATTAACATCTGTGGGGATCAAGGTGGGAAGGAGGAGAAAATCATCCAAGGTGAAAACTAGAAACCAAGCTAAAGGATGAAGACAGCATCAAAGACTGCTTTCATGAAAAGCAGTCCTTCTTGCCTTGAGTCTCTCCAGACAACAGGCAAGCTGGCAAAACAGGAGGCACTCCTCTCTCCTTCTGTTCATCCATGCTGCATTCTTTCCTTTTTAAAAAAACAGCTCTCTTTCTATGACTCTTCCAACTTCCAAGGCACCCAAAATTGATTAGCCTTTAAGTCTATATATCCTATCACTGCCATATATTAAGTTTCTCAGGACATTTCATGTCTACTTTATTCATTCAGCCCAAGTGCCATGGACGATTCTTTGTCCATTTACATGGCTCAGTAAGCTGGAGGTGGTGGTATACACCTGTAATCCCAGCACTCCTCCTGCAAAGGCAGGAGGATTGTGAGAATTCAAGGCCAGCATGGAATATATAATGAGACCCTGGCTCAAAAACCAAAAATAAAAAAAAAGTAAACAAAAATACAAATAAAATAGTTCAATAACTATCTGATTGGCTGGCCTAGCCTCATGGGTGGCAGGGGTGTGGTACTGTCTGAAGACCTGGAAAGAGGAGATCAAAGCTAGTACTCACGTGAGGGCAGCATAGTCAGGTCCCCCCACCTGCCTGCTGGCCTTGAGTAGATCAAGAATTCCACCAGCTCCACTCCCATTCCCAAGCTTGCCTTCAACCCCTTCCACCATGTCCTCATCTGTTGTATAGTCCTCCTGTTGGAGAAAGAGCTTCAGTTGCCGTGGGCTGATCTGGTAAGGCTTCAATACATGATTGACAGTTTGACTGCTAATATCTTCTGAGCACCAAGTATAGAGCAAGTAATAACCAGAACATTCATTCTTTTATCATCTAAATCGTCACAGAATCTATGTGAAGTATTATAACAACTATTTTACAGAGAAGGAAATCTACAGCTCAGCAAATTAAAATACTTTATTTGGGTCAAATCAGATAATCCTTTTGTTATATCATACTGCCTTTTATTCTATTTTGTATAAAAGATTTTTAAAATATTTCAAATTATAATCTTTCATTCATACATTAAATAGCACTTAGCATATAATCTTTTACATAGTAAGTATTTCAGAAATTACACGCAGAGCTAGAGGTGTGGCTCAAGCAGTAGAGTTCCAGCTTTGCAAGCGTGAAGCCCTGTTTGAACCCTAGTCTCACACACAAAAAAGAGAAATTAAATGCATAGGATGTCTTTGCCCCTTCCTTAAGTAGAATAACAATCTGTCTTTTGTTTCCATAACCAGAATGAACAGAAGAACAGATACAGGGCAGGCTCTTACCTCAATGTCAAACTCAACTTCTCCAGGTTCACGAATTCGGTTGGGGTCAGAACAAGGCTTTGCACGGGGTAACTTCCGAGGAAATTCTAAGACACAATGGAATGTGCTTATTACGAAGCTAAGACTGCCATCTGAGCCAAACACCCAAAGGAAAGAAAATAAGATTGCAATTTTTTTTGGAAGTAATGACCACCAGTAATGAATTTAAGAGAGGTGAGGAATTAACTGAAAAATAAATCTCTAAAGCAAAGAAAAACAATGGCTGTCTACAGAGCCTGGTAAACCAAGAGTATCAACAAGCTCAGGCCTAAGGTCTTGAGTCTAGCAAAGGGGCCATAAAATGTGAAATTAGTAGGGCAAAAGAACAGACACATACTTGGTCTTATTATTAGGGTTGCCTTCTCCTTTCCCAGTCTCTCGTCAATCTGTAGCTCATCATCTGAATCCAAGTCAAATTCATCTTCCATCACCTGTTCTGCTACCAGCCTTGCTTTGTCTGCTTTTTTTGCAATTTTGGCCCTACGAGACTTGGATAAGCTTTTCACCCTCTTGGTACTGGCGAGAAAGGGAAAGAGAACATAAATACATTCATGCACAAAGCTACACTGGGGAGTGTAACTTTAAGGTAGAACACATTGCTTAAAATCATGTATAAATCCCCTGTGTTCAATCCCTATGATCATAAACAAACAAACAAACAAAAAATGAAAACAACTAAGATGGCAATTTTCCCCAAACTGATCTATCTATAAATTGAGTGCAATCCCTATCAAAATCCATCCGGGTTTTTTTTTTAATAAAAGTTGACCAAATGACAGTAAAATAAAATCAGACATGCAAAGGAAGAACTTAAAATAGCCAACACTGTTTTGAAGAACAAGGTCAGAGGACTTATACTACTCAATTTCAAAATTTACTATTATAAAGCTATAGTAACCATAGTGTGATATTGGCATAAGGATAGACATATAGATGAATGGAACAGAATTGTGAATCCAGAATAAACTATTAAATTTATGACTATTTTTGACAAATGTAACATGACAATTCAGTGTGGGAAAGGATGATCTTTTCAACAAATGGTGCTGAGACAGAAGGATCTTGAGATCTTGAGACAGGAGCCAGCCTGAACTACATAGTGAGAGGGGAGGGGAGGAGAGGGAAGGAAAGGAGAGAGGACCATAATCACACAAAAAGATGTTTGACATCATTATGAGCCATTATGGAAATGCAAATCAAAACATTCCTGGTGGCCCACACCTATAATCCCAGCACTCAGAGGAGGTTGAGGCAAGAGGATCATGAGTTCAGGGCAACCCTATGCTACATAGCAAGACACTGTTTCAACTAAACAAAATCAAAAACATTTTGACATTTGTGACAACATGGAGAAACCTGGAGGACATAGGCTAAGTGAAATAAGCCAGACAGAGAAGGAAATATTACATGATCTCACTTATATATGGAAACCAAAAAATATATATATTCATAGGAACAAAAGGTAGCATGCTTATTACCAGGGGTAAAATGAGGTGGGAGAGATACTGCACAACAGGTACAAAGTTTCAGTTATGTAGAATGAGTCAGTTCTAGAAATCTAACAGACAGTAAGGTGATTACATTCAATAATACAGTGTTACAAACATGAAATTTCCTGATAGTAGATATAAGCATTCTTCACACACATACACGTAACTATATAAGGTGGATGTTAATTAGTTTGATTGTAATAATCATTTCACAAAGTAGATGCATATAAAAACGTATTGTACACTGCAAAAAATGTAATTTTTATTACAAAAAACACAAACAATAAGATACCATTTTACACCCACCCAAATGTGTATACTCAAAAGGAAAACAATAACAAGTGTTAACTCATGATTGCTGGTAGAAATGTAAAATAGCACACTTTGGAATGTGTAGCAGCTTCTTAAAAAGCTAAACATAAACCTAGTAATTTTATTTCTAAGTGAGAATCAAAGACGTAAGTCCACATAAAAACTTAAACATGAATGCTCAAAGCATTAGTTAGAATAGCCCCAAAGTAGAACCAATCCAAATGACTGACAATTAGTGAACAAGTAAACAAAATGTGGTATGTTCATAAAATGGAATATATAATGAAAAGGAACAATAAACCAGGCGTTGGTGGCTCATGCCTGTATCCTAGCTATTTGGGAGGCTGAGATCAGGAGGATCATGGCTCAAGGGCAGCTCAGGCAAATAGTTTGCAAGACACCATCTTCAAAATAACTGGAGCAAAATGGGCTGGAGATACTGTTCACGCAGTAAATCCTCTGCTTTGCAAGCACAAAGCCTGAGTTCAAAATCCCAGTCCCACAAAAATAAAAATAAAAAGGAACAATAAAAAGAAACCAACTATAGATGAATCTCAAAATCATTATGCCCTAAATGAAAGAAGCCAAACACAAAGATCACATTAATTTCATATTAATATAAAATGTTCAGAAAAAGGCAAGTTTATGGAGACAAGAAGTTAGTAATTGATTGAGACTAGGATGTGAATAAGTGCAAAATGGACATAATGGACCCTTTTGGGGTGAGAGAAATTTTCTAAAATTGGATTGTGGTAATGATTGCACAATTCTATAAATTTCTTAAAATTAATTTAATTATATAATTGAAATTAATTAATTTTATAGTATATAAATTTTATAATATATAAATTTTATAGCATATAAATCAAGAGATTGTACTTGTAAGTGGAATCTTAAAAGATGATTTCATAGAAGTTGAGAGCAAAAGTAGTAGGGAGAAGAGGGAAGGAGAGAGGTCAGTCAATTGGGTATAATGCTACTGTTTGACAGAAGGAATGTTCTGGTCTTGTATGGTATAGCAGGGTGAATATAATTAATAATAATGCATTGTATGTCTCAAAATAGAGAAAGGAATTTGAATGTACGCACCATAAAACATAATTACTCTGAGTTGATTGCTACCCAATACATTATGAATCAACCACCACATCTCAAATGTGTACAAATTATTATGTCAATCAAAAACACACATGTAAGAGGAAATGGAAAAGACTCAAAAGTCACTTAATCTTCTTTAACACACTAAACAATACTAAACAGTCAAAAAGGAACAAGTTTCTAGTAAATCATTCATACAATTAGCAAGTAGCCATTTTGTTGAAATGTCTTTTGGTAAAACTGGCTCCTATTAAACGGGCCTATTTTCTACTTCATGGGCTTGCGGGACGAATTAAAGGCACTAATGCAGAGCCTGACATATGGAAAATACCCAATGGTAGCTAATATCATAATTAAGTTGTCTAGGTCTCAGTTTTCATGAGTTAACATAGGGATAAAAATACTTACCTTAAGGGTTGTTGTAAAATAATGTGTGTAAACTGCTAAGTTTGAAATACAGCAAATGCTCATTAAATGATAGCTATTTATACTCTGATCTTTTATTAACTTCTAGCTACAAAAATTTCAAAATATAAATGTGTAATGAGCTCTCAGGTATCTATTACCCAGCTAAGTTTCAGCAATTTTGAACACACAGTCTATCTTGTTTCATCAACCTCTTACTCCCTGCAAATCACTGACTTTGGGGAAAAGGCCAGTCATAATATCATATCATCTGTAAATTATTTCTATATCTTGACTTTCTCGATTGACTTAACAGCATCTTCTGGGAGGTGCAGCAGGTAATGGTAGCAGCACAAGAAAAAGACTGGTGGGGGAGGAGGACATAATCCATTGTAACCTTAGTAGCTGTTTTAAATTGGATCCTTAGGACTCTCAATCTTCTCCTCCACAGGTGACCTGCCAGGAGTTCTGCAAAAAGGCAATGCTCGAAATTCTCTTTAATCTTAATTTTTAGCAAATCGATTCTCAAACCCCAAGAATATCTCTGCTTTCAGAATCTGCCCTACTCTCACTCCATGTTCCCTTATTTTCTAGCCAGATGAATCTACTACACTCTCCCGGGGTATCTGAAGAGAACCTTTTTCTACAAAGAGACTATTAAGGTATTCTTGTTATTTGTGTTCATACATTGCTCATATTCTGGATTTGGCTCTTGACTGCTGCTGTCTACTGTTCTGAGTATCCAGATGATAACCCTTACTGCCCTTCCTTGCCTTTGATCCTCTACATATTTCAGGGTTGACAGATGATGCAGTTTCTCATCACACTCACATCATCATCACCTTTTATCTCTATCTGTATCAGATAAGAAAGAGCTGCTATTAGTTAAGCATTTATAATGTGCCAGAACCTGTGATAAGAACTTTGCATACATTCTCATTTAATCCCCAACAATCCTAAAGTAAATTTAATTTATAGAACAGATATAATGTTGACACTGAGGTTAATTATTTTGCCAACATCACACAGTGAATCCATGTCAGAGCTGAGATGCAAACTCAGGACTGGCTGATTACCAAGACCATGATTTTGTTTTGACCAACTTTTATCCTTTTACGAATGTTCTTTAAAAATTATTTTGCCAGGCACCAATGGCTCATGCCTGTAATCGTAGTTACTTGGGAGGCTAAGATCAGGAGGATTACAATTCGAGGCCAGACCAGGCAAGTAGTTCATGAGAGCCCTATCTCCAAAATAACCAGAGCAAAATGGACTGGAGGTATGGCTCAAGTGGTAGAGTGTCTGCTTTGCAAGCTCAGAGCCCTGAGTTAAAACCCCAGTCCCACCAAAAAAATTATTTTAAGCCAGCTGTAGTGATGCATGCCTCTAATGTCAGACTTGGGAGGCTAGAGCAGGCAGACCTGCTGCACAGCAAGTTCCAGGCCAGCCTGGACTTACAGATTTTTTTTTTGGTGGTACTGGGGTTTGAACTTGGGACCTCACGCTTGCTAGGCAGGCACTCTTAGCACATGAGCAACGTCGCCAGTCTTTTTCTGTGATGAGATATGGTCTTGCAAACTGTTTACCAGGGCTTGCTTTGAACCGTAATCCTCCTGATCTCTACCTCCTGAGTAGCTAGGATTCCAGGTGTGAGCTGCCAGCACCAGGCTCAAACAACGGTTTTAAGAAAAGTAACAAAAAACTGGTGTAACAAGTATAAATATATTAAATATTTTTACTTGCTTGAATGTATATGAATATGTCTGAAAGGAAAAAACTAAAATTGGTTGTCAATGAAGAGGATAATAAGGGAATAAGACTTTTCACTGTGTGCTCTTTCACACCTTGTAAATTGAATTTTAAACTTCTAAAAATTAAAAATAGTAGCTGGGAGTGGTGGCTTATGCCTGTAATCCCAGCTATTTAATGGGAGGCAGAGATAAAAAAGATCAGGAAAATCACAGTTTAAGGCAAGCTTGGGCAAGACTCCATCTCATCAAAAAGTTAAGCATGGTATTGGGAAGTGTAAGTAGGAGAATCAAAGTCCAGGATAGCCCCAGGCAAAAATAGGAGACTCTACTGCAAAAATAACGGAAGCAACAAGGGCTGACGGCATGGCTCAAGTGGTAGAGTACCTGTCTAGCAAGCACAAGGCCCAGAATTCAAACCTCAGTAATGCCAAAAACGAAACAGAAATAAAAAGTCTGTATATTGCTTTTTATGCATGTATGTACACATTCCTTTTTAAAAAGATAAAAATGAAACTATTCCTGTATATTGTTGTGGAACCTGTTTTACTTAAGAATACATCTTGGGTCAGGTGTGGATCACACTTGTAATCCCAGCTATGTGGGAGACATAGGTAGGAGGATTGCAGTCCAAGGTAAAGCTGAGCAAAAAGTTAGTAAGACTCATTCTCAACCAATAGCTGGGTGTGATGGCACATGCCTGTCATGCCAGCTATGCAGGAAGCATAAATAGGATTGTGGCCCAGGCTGGCCCAGGCATAAACTTGAGACCCTACCCAAAAACTGGCATGGCTCAAGTGGTAGAGTGCCTGCCTAGTGAGGCCCTGAGTTCAACCCCCAATACCAACGAACAGAATGTATCTTGAAGCCAGGCATGGTAGTGTATTTGCCTATAATCCCAGCAACTGAGACACAAAAACCGGAGGATCATAAATTTGAGGCCAGCCTGGGCTACATATTGAATTCAAGGCCAGCCTATGGTTCATATCAAGACCCTGTCTCAAAAAATCAAGGGCTTGGGATTTAGTTCAGTGATAGAGCACTTGCCTACCATGTGCAAGGTCCTGGGTCCAAGTCCCAGAACTGCAAAAAAAAAAGAATCTATCCTGAAGCCAGGCCTGGTGGTGCATACAGGCAGTGCCAATTACTCAGGAGGCTGAGGCAGGAGTATTGCTGGAGCACAGGAGTACAAGGCCAGCCTCGCCAACATAGTGAGGTCCCATCTCAAAAGAAAATATGTATTAGCATCTGTGTCAACAGATACTAAATTGTTTCACTCTTTAACAGCTACATGGTATTCCACTCTAAAGATGTAGCATGATTTATTTATCTAACCTCTACTGATGAACATTTGGATGTCTCCAATTACTATTATGAAAATACAGTAAGCATACAATATTTCTCCTTACACACCTGTGCAAAAATTTCTGCAAATTCCTAAGCAATGAATCACAAATCAAAATGTCTATTAAAAAAACTGTGCTTTTTTGTAAATAAAGTAACAGTAAAGTTTATTAGGAAAAAAATTTAGTATAATAGGATAAAAGTGGAGAGAAATGAGGGAAAAAAGGAAGAAACATTTCCTGCTCCCCATGCAGGAAACGGGAGTAAAGACTCCCAAAACTGTGTTCTTAACTAGTATAATATACTACTACTTATTTCTACCAGTGGCTTTGCCCCACTGACATGCTGAAATTCTAAAATTTATACAAGATCTTTCTCAGGATTGCCAATTAAGGTTTCAGACCTCTTCCTTCTACTCACCATGATTCTTTGATTGTAGCAATGATATCTAATAGTATCTGGGATTGCCGTAAGTACAGCGCCTCCCTCACCTGTATCCCAACCCCCAACTCCCCAATTCCATGCCCTGTCTTAATGGCATAGTGCCACTGACAGTCTGTTCTCTCTATGCTCCTTCTTCCCACTCACCTGCCATTAGCCATCAGCAGGGCCAGCGGGGTCTCATTCCCATCAAGGTCCATGTCTGGTGAGTCATCATCTGAGTCATTCAAGCAGGTACCAGTGATGTTGAACTGCAGGAGGAAGAGGCTCAGTTGTCACCAGTCTGAGACTCCCAGGTGAATCAAGATGGCCAGTTCCCTCTGGCTTTACTACAAAACTGTCAAAACCCCCTGAACAGAGGCCTTCTGCTATACCTCCCCCACAACCCCCACCCCTAATGATCACAGGAGCTCCTGCTGTGAGGATGTATGGCTGGCTCAGGGGAAACCTATCAATCTTGTGAAACATGTTCCCTAAAAATAGGAGAGAAGCATCACCTTCAGATGCCCATGGAAGGCAGAACCTTGAGACAAGGTAGAGCCCTGGAGGAGGGTTTTTCTTAAGGACCTGTTCAAGATTCCAACTTAACACTCACAATGTTTCTAAATCCCCACATGTCAAGATTCAGCTCAAGTGTCAAGTATTCAAAAAGAGGTCCTGACCATCTCCCTTACCCAGATAGAATCAATCCCCCTTTGTGTCTCAGGGTCCCACACATACCCTTGATTGTGGCATCCACAACACTTTGTTGCACTCATTTGTTTTTGTTCCTATCTTTCTCACTAGCCTATCAGCCTCTTGAGTTACGTTCACAGCACCTATCACAGTGCCCAGCATAGAAAAGGTCTCAATAAATGCCTATTAAATGGGTGGGACTGGTAGCCAAATACCAGGGGCCTTATGGGAGGTGGACAGGATAGGAAGACAGGACAGCCTGCCCTTTTGAAAGCCTGCTCTTCCAAGGGACCCAAAAGGATTGGGCTGAACCCATGGGCCAGCACCCACCTTTGCTTTCTGGGAAGAGCCTGTCTTCAGTGCCTGATGATTGTATGGGTCCATGAGATTATAGCTCAACTGGCCAGCAGGCCCCAAGGCTGAACTCTCCTTGCCCTTTTGCTCTGCTTTCTTGAAGATTTCCTTGGGCTTCAGGCCTTTCTTCTTTGAACCACTTTTGGAAGGCAGTGACAGCCTGGACATGGGTACTGAAGTGGAATGGGCTGGCCTGGTTAAGGGAATGGAGCCGGCTGGGAAGATCCTCTGCAGCCCAAAGATATTGCTCGTCTTCCCAACGTTCTGTTGGAAGATGTCCTACAAGAGTGTTAGTACATGAGGGGGTTAGCGCTTACTCAAGGGTTCTCTCTATGCTAAAAGCAGAGGTCTGTTCCCGGCACTGGCAGTACTGCCATGGAAGTGGCTTATAGAGATGCTCCACATATGCGCACCCTAGTTTTTGCATAGTGAGTCATCAAGAATTTATTGGGTGGCATTTCTTTATCCAGCCATTGACAAGTAAGGAGAAGACGAGCAAAAGAAAAGTCCAGCACTACTGTCAAAACTGGAGAGAAAAAAACCTCCAAGAGTAGCTGATGTGTAACAGAAAATAATCCAGGACTAAACTGTGTGGTTCAAACTCTAAGGACTATAGGATTTGAGAAAAGAAAGGTTCTAGTCCTAATTTTGCTACTAGCTAGCTCTGTGACCTCAGGAAAGTGATCTGACCATTCTGAAGCTTGTTTGCTTAGCTGTAAAATTAAAGGTCTAGACTAGAAACGTGATTTTTGAAAATGTTCTGTGATTCCATTGAGCAGCTTAGGAGAATGCCTGGGGCCTGGAAGTTAGGGGGAAGGCAGATGAGAGGAACAAGCGGAGCCACAGGCCTTCCACCTTCATCCCACTCAAAGCAGCTATGCTTTGATTTGTTGTTATAACTGGGCTTCATATAAGGTCTTATTTGAAAAAAAAAAGATTCCAACAACATTTGAAAGCCAATGGACCAGATACATTTTATCTCTAAGTTCTCTTCCAACCAGTCGAAAGTTCTGTGGGTACAAGACTGGCTTAAGTGGGAAGAGCTAGAGAAAAGGTAGAACATTAACTAAATCTTGAAGGATTTTAATAGTTGGCGTAGAGAAAAATGAACTAGGTGGCAGACACTGAAAGCTCTGGTGTACACAGTAAAATATGCTGCAAGCAGTGAGGCTACAAACTCAATTTCCAGCAGCTTATTTGATCACCCTCCAACACTATAAAGCTTCTAAGCTAAAAAGAGCATTTAAACATCAAGTCCAATTCTCTCTGGTGCCTCTGCTACTTCACCAGCCCACACTGAGTTCTCTTGTTGCTACAAAGTCTTTTAATAACAATGGCTCACATTTATTGAGTACTCACTCTGCCAGGCACTGTGTGAGGAGCTCTACATACAGTAGATCTTAACCTACCAAAGATCTGAAAAGTTGGTAAAATTGGTCCTCACTTTATAGATGAGGAAACTGAGTCTCTGAAAGGCTTTCAAATGAAACAGCAGGAACCAGAACCCAGGTTGCTCTGAGTCTCTTACCACTATACCTTACTGCCTCGTGGTATATGCCACCTGTTGAAACATGGCTTTGTAATCATCTTCAACCTGAGAGAACTGTCATTTTGTAGAATGCAGAGACTGAGTCAAAATATTAATAACAACAACAACTACAACTACTACCACCTCCCACCACCATCAACCCACCATCAAAATTTATACTGTGTATCCAAGCACTATATTTAATACTCAATCCACATTACCTTATTTAATCCTCCCAAACTGAGGCTGAGGTTAATTTTGTTCAGGGCCTTCTATTAAACTGTGAGTTCTTTGTGGGAAAACACTGTATCATTTATGTATCCTAAAAGCCCAGCCCAATGTGTGGCATATACTCGAAGAACATAATAATTACTTGAATTGATGACTAAATGAATGAGTAGGGTATTTGGTAGGGTCTTCCCAACCCTTCCCCTGGGCTCTCTGCCAATTACAAAGGCCTGACCTACCACTTGAGTCTTGAGCCCTTCCCAAATACTTCCCCTCCCCCCAGGCTTCTTACTTCAACCAGGCGGATCTCCCTAGCCAGATCTTTAATGAGTTGTACAGTCCGCACTGTCTCCGGGATCTCGTCCTCATGATCTGGCAGAGCCTGTCAAACAAGAAGCATAAGAAATAGATCCACATACAGATTTTTGACAAATTTGTCAAGGCAAAGCAATGGATAAAGGGCATTCTTTTAAACATATGGTATTAATCCTTTCTTTCCCCTTTGATATCCATAAACAATTCTGTCATTCATTTCTTGCAAAACACACACACACACCACACACAGAATGGTTCACAAAACTGTATGTAAAAACTATAAACCCTTTAAAACAGAAGAGAAAATCTCTGTGACCATTGGTTAGGCAAAGATTTCTTAAGATAGAAATAGCTTGGACCAGAAAATACTGATAACTAGGCTTACCAAAGATGAAAACTTGTCTCTGAAAAAACCTTTACTATTTTAAGATGAGCCCCAGACAGAAAAATATGGGTAAAATGTGTATCTGATAAAGGACAGTATCAAGAGGTGTGAACTATCATGGGCTTGGGCCACACCTTTCATGAGGTCAAGGACCTTAGGAAGATCAACGGGGACAAACCAGTCTCACCACTTGTGAGGACAGAACTCAGTGCTGACTGAGCAGCCACCACCAGAGTCAGCTCTACAGCAACCCAGGAGATACCTGATAGTTTTGTCTCTCTCTCTTTTTTGTAGTATAGGGATTGAACTCAGGGGCTCCTCCTTGCTAGGCAATCAGTCTATTACTTGAGCCATGTCTCTAGCCCGTTTTTGCTTTAGCTATTTTTTCAGAATCTGTGTCTCACCTTTTTTGCCCAGGCCAGCCAGGCCTTCAATCTTTCTATCTATGCTCCCTGCACAGCTGGGATTACAGGCATGGATGCCTGGTCCTTGTTTACCATTTTTTGAGTACATTTTTATATAGATCTCAAACACTTTTCTTTGTGATTTCTTCCACTACTTTTCACTTCACTTCTGTATCCAGAGGATGAATGAGAAATTTTTGAGCATTTCCTTTCTGTTTCTCATGGTTTGATTCTTTTTTAATCCAGAATTTGTCAAGTAAAGATGCAGAACCAGGTAACTCAGGGCCTTTTGAGCCATGTCCCTAGCCTTCTGGCTTTTTAGTTTTCAGACAGGATCTTGCACTTTTGGCCTGGGTCGGTCTCAGACCATGATCCTCCTACCTATGCCTCCTGCAGAGCTGGGATTACATGCATATATTTTGGTGGTTGGGTGGAGAGCCAAGAACCCAAAAGCTGGGTAACTTTAATGGCACCTTCCCTCTCAGGGGTACTGCAAACTAGAGAGAATAAGTATCTCCTGTGCAAGTCACCTGGACTTCACAAAAGATACCTTCCATGAACGTGGGTGCCTCAGAATTGTGTCCCTACTCTCCTGAAGCTGTTTTGCCACACTGCATGGGGCTATTTATTCCTTGGTCTCTGCATCTATCCTGACTTGGGGCATGAGTCTTAGGATCCAACCACTCACTTCCCTTTTGGTGTTCCTGCAACAGTCACTCTGAAGTTCACTTCACAGAAAGGATCAGAACTGAAACTAAAGGTAGACACACCTTAGTGGTCTGGAGAAACAGAACCACAGGCTAGGGTCCACATGTAGGTGTGCCCAGGAAGCAAAGAAAGGCCAACAACAAGAAATCCAAAAATATCTGAAGCAAAGGTTGGCAGCAAGAAATGGAGAAACTATGCAGGTTAAGCCTACACTGGCTGAAAGGTCCTTAAAAGTCACTGTATTCAAGTGCTTACAGAGCATCTAAAACCTGAATATATACTGGAATTTCTTCTATTTTTAAAAACTTTTTAAAAAACTTCAACATGATTAAAAAATGAAACAATATAAAAAGATACATATTGAAAAACCTTACTCCTACCCTGTATCTAACATCCACATCATCCTACCCCCATAGGTAACCACTTTCACTAGTTTCTGCATCCCTTCATATTTGTGTCTTCAGGTAAATATGAACATATATAAATATAATTCTTTTGTGGGGAGGATACAGGGGTTTGAACTAAGTGCCTCCTACTTAAGCCATACCCTTAGCCCTTTTGGCTTTAGTTATTTTTCAGACAGGGTCTCACATATTTTGCCTGGGTCAGCCTTGGATGGTAATCCTCCCACCTATCCCTCCTGCATAGCTGGGATTACAGATGTACACTACAACGCCTGGCTTGTCTGCTAAGATGGTAGTCTCACTAACTTTTTCCCCAGGCTGTTCTGGAAATGTGATTCTTCTGATATCTGCCTCCTGAGTAGCTGGGATTATAGTGGTGAGACACCATACCTGTCCCAAATATAATTCTTGTTTCCTCCCTTTTTAGATATAAGGTAGTTTATACATATACAGTTCTGTACCTTTACTTAACAAATTCTAGAGATTTTTCCAAATGAGTACATAGAGAATTTTCTTATTCTCTTTTATAACTACTTAGTATTCAGTTGGGTAGATGGATATTGGTACTTTTCTAAAAAGCCATTTCAAGAACCTTCCATTTTTTTCATATACTTTGATCCAGAAATTATTCTTCCAGGAATCCATACTGAGGGGATAATTAAAAGATGAGGGATAAAGACTGATGCATACAAATACATACTGTTTGATTCTCTATAACTCCAAACACAAACAACAGAAGTAACAATGAGTAGGTAGGTAAATATGGAACATCCCTGCAAAAGGATATCATGTAACTATCAAATGTTTATGGACAACTTTGGTGACACAGGAAAATTAATATAAGCCAATATATTCAGACACAAAATTGAATATGAAGTACAATAGCAATTATGTTTTTTAAATGCGCATAAGGGCGTTGGGGGGTATAACTTAGTGGTACTTACCTAACATATGCAATGCCCTGGGTTCCATCCCAGCACCAAAAAATGTATATAAAAAAGACCAGACGGAAAGGGCTGGATGCACTGGCTCACATCTATAATCCCAGCTATGTGGGAGGCAGAGATTGGGAGGATCCATGGTTCAAGGCCAGTCCAGGCAAAAAAAAGTTAGTAAGGCACTATCTCAACAAATTGGCTGGGCAGTGATGGCACATGCCTATATTTACAGATACATGAGAGGCATAGGTAGGAGGACTGTGGTCCCAGACTGGACGCCAGCAAAGACACTATCCAAAAAATAACTAAAACAAAACAAAAAGAGGGTGGGGGCATGACTAAAGTGGCAGAGTGCCTGCCTAGCAAGCCCAAGGTCCTGAGTTCAAACCTCAGTACCACCAAGAAAAAAAAAAAGGCCAGAAGGAAATAAACCCAAATGTTAGCGGTAGTTCCCTCTAACAGTTAAATTTCAAGGTGATTTTTCCCCCTTCTTTATGTTCTTCTGTATTTTCCTAATTCTCAAGTGTAAGTATGTATTATTTCTTATAATCAGAAAGTAAGATTTAAAAACAATCCAAGGAATCCTAGCCTAGTGATCCATTCTAACTAAGGTGCCCACAAGCCTTTCTAGCCTGTCTGTCAAAAGCATCTACTGAAACCAAGTCCTTATGGAGGACAAAAGTCCTGAGGAGGTACAGAAATGTGTATTTACTTCTTTCCTTGTCCAGGCTCTAAAGGCCAAGTTCAGGGCTTTACCACCATGGACGAGGTAGGAGGCAGGGTGTCTTCTGTTCTCTCGCAAACCTAAAGGGGGAAAAGAAGAAAGCAAAGTGTCAATGAAGCCATGCAAGGAAGTGAAGGACTTGTTATCTGTGTCAAGCAACCAGAGAAAATGCTCAGGATTCTCAGCACAACTCCAGATTTCATTTATTCTACCAGTGTTGACTTATTGAGAAACTACTACATACTAGACACTTGGCATCTATTATCTTCTTTAATCCTTATACCTCTCATGTAAGACAGATATTATTATCTTCATTTTATAGTTCAGGAAACTAGATGTCAGAGAAAAAAAGAGACTTCACAAAGGACATACACATAGTAAGTAAAAAAGCAAAGCCTGAAACCATATCTACTTGAGTGTGAGGCCTACACTCCTTCCTTATTCCTTTCTACATTACACTGCCTCTTGGGTCTCAAAAGGAGAACACTCAGGAGGATTGCGAGCACTACCTACACAGATTTGAAAGGCCATTAATGTAGAAGATGGATTGGCTGTGTTCTGCCTTGCTGCTTGGGGAGTCTATTATAAATAGCCAGATTTAGACTTTATAAATAATTTTCTACTGAATTAAGCTGTTCAGAACAAATAATGAACAGTTAGCTATCCAGTGTTTGAGTCAACACTTATGTGACAGTCTTTCTAGGTGGCAGAATAAGGGTTTAAGGATTAGGAAGGAGATCAGACTCACTGAGCTACAAAGTCCTTTCTAACTTTGAGATACTGATTCGTCTGGCCAAGTCACCTTGAAGAATCAATCACAGGCCCAAGCAAGGGATCAACTTATTTGAGAGCAGACCAATAAAGAGGAAACCCAGCAAGTTTGACTTCCATCTGGGCTAATACCCACGAATCCACACAATGATGCCAGGATGGTCAACACTGGGCCTCATTCCCTTGGCAGGCACATTCAGCAAACTTATAACTAATTTAGATTGAGCTTCTTTTTTAAAAAATTTCCTTTATTCATATGTTCATACAATGATTGGGTCATTACTCCCCTTTTCCCCCTAGACTGAGTTTCTTAACAGGCAGGAAATAGGGATAATTTTATTGTGATCCAATTTTACTGGCCACCCTTGCTAAACAAAAAAGGTTTAAATCCACATCCTGCTGAATAAAAAGCAAATCCTAAACAATTATATGCTACATGATTCCATTTATATAATATTCTTAAAATGACAAAATTATAGGGATAGAAACATAGATAAGTGGCTTGCAGAAGTTATGAATGGTTCAGAGGAAGAAAGTTTGTGAAAGTATAATGGGGTAGCACTGGAGAGATTTTTTTAGTAAGAAAAAAGTATCACTTTTTTCTTATTTTGTGATTTTTTTTGCAGTACTCAGAACTGAGCTCAAGTCTTTGTACAAGCCAGGCAAGTGCTCTACTACTTTTGCTAAACCCCTGGACCTTATTTTTTATGCACCACCATACCTAGCTTAATTTTAGTTCTCACACTTAGTTCTTTCATCCATTTTGAGTTAGTTTTTTCTGTATGGTGTGAGGTAAGGGTACAATTTTATTCTTCTTTTATTTATAATTTAATTTTTTGTCGGTACTGGTTTTGCATTCAGGGCCTCATGTGTGCTGGGCAGGTGCTCTACCACTTCAGTCACTCAGAATTGAGCCCAAGTCTTTGTACAAGCCAGGAAAGTGCTCTACCACTTTCGCTAAACCCCTAGACCATATTTTTTACTGTATGTATTTAAGGTATACAATATAATATTTTGATATACACAAGAAGGTTCATGCACACTCTTTCCCTCTCCTTTCCCTCTTGACAAATGGGATAGCTGGTAAAGGGCTCCATACCTCGAAAAATGTCCAGAATATGCTTTCCCACATACCAACAGATGGTCTCAAAGTTGGGGAACTTAAAGAGGTCTGCTGTGCTCAACCGTTTCTCAATTTCATAGGCTCTGGAAGGAAACAACAGCAAGAAGAAACCATTTACGATTTGTATCATGTATTATTCTGGATGCTATATATCTACCATCTATGATCCTCACAATGACCTTGTAAGATTCTACTCTATGCATTAGGAAATTTTGGGCTTAAAGGTTATATGACTTGCTCAAAGTCACAACTAACAAAGTGAGGAAAAGGTGTTAATCTTCAAACTGAACATCATTAGGAACCAGGATTCATTCCTTTCTGATTGTTTTGTTTCCTACTATGCTGTACTTCTCACTCTAGGGGAGAGCCCAAGGACTCTAGCAGACAGGAATGGCCAACTTCAGGACTCACTTGAGCTGCATTTCGATGTTGAGACTGTGTAAGAAGTTCCCTCCAAAGGCTAGGCAGTCCACAGGGGTCAGCACAGCATGGATCCATCCTGCAGCATAACAAGGTAAAATCATCGCTGGCAGAGGGCCTCTCTTCCTCTGGGTATCCTCACTGCTGGCTGAGCTCAATCTCAACTCCTTAGGAATAGTTAGCTTACCACTGACTCAAAACATTCTTAGTTATTTCGCTACCCCAACACCCAATGTGACCTAGCCTACCATCATTATAACCCTGAACAGAATCAAGCTATTGAGTTAAATACATTTCTACTTCCTTCTTCTCCATTTCAAAAATCTTTTTGTTGCCTTTCTCATCCCATTTTGTCTCTAAGGACATCACCATCTTGCCATAACTATTCCTTCTAACTCTACCTGGGCAAAACAAAAAGAGATTTTGTGCTGGACAGACCTGAGCTCAAATTCTGCCATTCCTGGTTAAATACTTCACAGTTGGTTGTGAGGCATACATCCAACTGGAACACAATTATTTTCCTTGCTCTTTACCTCCTTTTGCAAACATCATTTTTTTCTTATGTCTCTCCCATAATCATCTCCAGCAGGCCAGCCAGTCAGCCATTCATCCCATTAATGCCTTGGTTCAGATCCTCATCGTCTCTCATCTTGGCTACTGCAACAGCCTCTAAACTGGTTTCTTTACCCAGCTGTTCTCCAGGTGTGGTCCAGGAAACCATGGGCTCCCTAAGACTTTTTCAGAAAATATGAGGCCAAAACCCTTGCCTCAAACTGGTATATCAATACGTATGTGTAATGTATAATGTGACTATAGAAACCACTAAAAAATAACCACAGCAAAGCTAGGTATGGTGACACATGCCTGTAATTCCAGTTAATCAGGAGCCAGGAGGATCACGAGTTTGAGGCTATCCTAGGCTAAGTTAGTGAGAAATTAGCAAGACCCCATCATGAAAACAAAACAATAACGAAAGGGCTGGGGGTGTAACTCAAGTGGTAGAATTCTTGCCTAGCAAGCATGAGACCATGGACCCAATCCTCAGAACTTCAGGGAAAAAAATAACTACAACACTAAAAAAACCTATACACAACCTGTATCTAAAAATTCATATGAAAATTCAAGGGTTCGGACTAGACAAAGTTAAAGGAGTGACAATTCCCAATTTCAAAACTTACTAGAAATGCACAGTAATTGAGACGTTGTGACATTATTATTAGGACATAGAGATCAGTGGAATAGAATTTAGGATCATAACACTATGGTCAATTAATTCTTGACAGAGGAGTCAAAACAATGGGCAGAAGACTAGTCTTTTCAAATGGTCTGGAGAAACTAGGTATTATATGCACACAAAAGAAGGGGTGGTGAAGTGGTTGAAGTGGTAGAGCACCTGCCCAGCAAGCATGAGGCACTGAGTTCAAACACCAGTACCGACAAAAAAAAATTATATATAAAAGAAGAATGAAATTACACCCTTACCTCACACCATACAAAAAAACTAACTCAAAATGGATGAAAGAACTTAAGTGTGAGAACTAAAAGTAAGCTGGGTATGGTGGTGCTGAAGCAGGTAGTTTGTGAGTTTGAGGTCAGCCTGGGCTACAAAGTAAGACTGTCTCAAAACAAAATGAAAAAGAAACTGAACTATAAAGCATTTTGAAGAAAACATAGGTATAAATCTTCATGATCTTGAACTAAGTAACAGTTCCTTAGACAGAGAGCAATATCATAAGAAAAAGAAAACAGATAAATCCGACATCAAAATTCGTAACTTTTGTGCTTCGTAAGACCCTACACCAAGGATGTGAAAAGACTATCCCAAAAATGTAAGAAAGTATTTTCAAATCATACATTAGGTAAAGATCCAGTATCCAAAATGTTTAAAGAATTCTTACAACTCAACAGTAAAACAACTTAATCAAAGGATCATCAAAGAATGTAAACAGACATTTCAACAAAAAAAAAAAAAAGAAGAAATACAAATGTCCAACAAGTACATGGAAAGACATTCAACATCAATAGTCACTGGGAAAAACACCAATCAGTAGGATACTACTTGAAACTCACAGGATGGCAATAATCATAAAAACAGGTAACAAGTGTTAGGGAATATGTGAAGAAACTGGAACCCTTATACACTGCTGTCAGGAATACAAAATAATGCACACAGCTATTTTGGAAACAGTTTGGCAGTTCCTCAAAAAGGTAAACTGCATACTCAGGAGAAGTGAAAATACAGGTTAAGTATTCCTTATCTAAAATGCTTGGGACCAGAAATAGTTCAGATTTTTTTAGACTTTGAAATATTTGCATGTACACAATGAGGGTCCTCATTTTTTTTCTTTTGGCAGCACTGGGCTTTGTAAGGCAGGTGCTCTACCACTTGAGCCACTCCACCAGCCCCACAATGAGGTATCTTAAGGATGGAACCCAAGTCTAAACATGAAATTAATTTATATTCATGTACACTTCATACATGTAGTCTGGGGAAATTTTACACATTTTAGTGCACCTTTTTTTGGGTAGTTGGACAGAGACTTGTGCTTGCTAGGCAAGTGCTTTACCACTTGAGCCATGCCTCTAGCCCTTTTTGCTTTAATTGTTTTTCAGATAGGGTTCACGCTTTTTGCCCAGGCTGGCCTCAGACTGATACATTGCTACTTATGCCTCACGCAGACATGTTCCACCACACCTGGCTTGCTTCTTGAGATAGGGGCTCCCTAACTTTTTTCCCCAGTCTGGCCTAGAATCTCAATCTTCCCATCTCTGCCTCCCAAGAAGCAGGGATTTCAGAGTGAGTGACCATACCCAGCTTGCACATATGTTTTAATTGTGAACCATCATATCAGGTCACATGTGACATTCTCCACTTGTGGCATCACTTTGGTGCTCAATAAGTTTCAGATTTTAGATAATTTCAGATTCTTGGATTAGGGATGCTCAATCTGTTGACACAATAACTCTACATGACTGTTCATAGCAACACTATTCATAATAGCCAAAAATAGAAACAACTCAAGTATCTATCAGCTGATGAATGGATAAACAAAATGTGGTATGTCCACACTATGGAATATTCTTTGGCTATTAAAAAGAATGAAGCACTGATAAAGGCTACATAACATGGATGAATTTTGAAAATATGCTGAGTGAAAAAAATGTTAAGAAGCCAGAAACAAAAGACAACGTATTGCATGAATCCATTTGTATAAAATATTCAAAAGAAGTAAATCTACATAAAAAGGAAGTACAAAAGTAGTCACCAGGGACTGGGAGGAGAGAGGAGTAACTGATAATGGGGACAGGGTTTCTTTTTGAGGTAATGAGCATTTTCTGGTAGAAGACAGAGTAATGGTTGCATGACCTTGTAAATATACTAAAAACAAACCTTTAAAGTGGTAAATTTTATGGTATGTGAACTATATCTCATTTTTTCAAAAGCACATTTAACCAAATGAAAATGAAATATAACAAATCAAAATTTGTGACAGCTAAATCGGCACTGAGAAGGAAATTTATAGCACTAAATGCTCACATTAGAAGGGTAGTCTGAAATCAATAGTCTAAGCTCCCATCAAGACTAGAAAAAAAGAATGCAAAATAAACTCAAAGCAAGCAGAAGGAAAAAAATTAAAAGCAGAAATGAATAAAATTAGAAAGAGAAAGATGACAAGAGAAAAATCAATGAAACAAAGAGTGGTTCTTAAATTAGTAAGGGTTGGGGGTAAGGCTCAAATGGTATAGCATTTATAGGAATAAAACAAAAGATGTCACTAGCAACCTAGAAGATATTAAAACAATAACAAGGAAGATATTAAAACAACAAGAAGGAAATATTATGAACAACTCTATACACACAAAATTTAAGGAAAAAAATTTTTGAAATGGGGTCCCACAATTTTACTCAGGCTGGTCTCCAGCTCATGAGCTCAATGGATTTTCCCACCTTAGTCTCATGAGTAACTGGCACACCAGACATGTGTTACTGTACCCAGCTTACATACATAAATTTGACATTTTGGATAAAATAGGGCTGGGGGGTAGAGCAATCCCGAGTGCCGCAAAATAAAATAGACCAATAAAATAGATATAACAGACCAATTCCTAAAACAGCACAGACTACCACAGCTCAATCAATATGAAATAATGTGAATAACCTTATAAAGATTAAGTAAATAGAATGTTAAATTAAAACTTCCCAAAAAAGAAATCTTTCATGTGATTTTAATAAAGAATTATTTCTTTTTTGAGATAGTGGTTTCACTATGCTGCTCAGGCTGGCCTCAAACTTGCAATCCTCCTGCCTCGACTTCCCAAACAGCAGTTGTATGCCATTGTGCCCATCTTCACTAGACAATTCTACTAAACATTTCAAGAAATTTTAACATTAATTCCGATTAAATAAATCAAAGAACATCTATAATAAATAGGGAGATATATTGTGTTATGAAAGAAGCAAGCAAAATTAGGACTCTGTCCTAATTGATACAACTGGGGAGCTTCTTCAAAATACATATACACTCAGACCACTCACCAGACCTATGAATTCTAGGAGTTAAGTTCAGGCATGTATTATTTAGGAAAAAACACCCTATCCTCACCCGAGGATATTCTAATTTATAGGCTAGAATGTTAGAATGTCAGCCTCCAGTCAGTATCCCTAGTCATGGGGCTAAAAGTCATGTTCTTTATCTGTACATGCAGTTGACATCAACCCAGCGCAAAGGAGTCCATCAGCCTCTTCCTGCTCCCTCATTCTGCAGCCTCTTTAAGCAACCACGCTGCCCGCTAGCCATCATATGAATTTTCTTGAGGTCTTGTTTTGAGCCTTCAGCTGATATGACATTATCCCACATTATCAGAATAAATTATAGGAAGGGATTGTCTATAGTGCCACAGGCTTTTTTTCTACCCTCCCTGGCCTTCCCCAACAGAGGAACCCAGAAGACCTGTAGGAATGAAAAGTGTCTGTCCTTGCTTCACACAACACTTGTAGCACTTGTCCACCTGGTCCCCAAAGAACATCTCATTCTGATTAGAGGAGCTGCTCCAGCACTCGAACAGAGTCAAATTAGCATTTGTTGGGCGGATTAGGTAGAAGATCTTCTCACCCTGAAAGAAAAAGAGGTTGAAGTGCCAAAAATACCAAGGGATTCAAATAAATTCCTTTAGGGGGTGCTCAAAGGGCTAATTCTCTTCCCCTATACTCCACAGCCACGCCAAAATGACAGAGTTCTTTCCTAAATCCTTCAAGAATCATTTTTAGCTGGGCTACAAGTCTGCAATCCTAGCTACTCAGGAGGCAGAGATCTGGAGAATCATGGTTCAAAGCCAGCCCGGGCAAATAGTTTGTAAGACACTATCTTGAAAATACCCATCACAAAAAAAGGGCTGGTGGAGTGGCTCAAGGTGTAGGCCCTGAGTTCAAGCCCCAGTACCAGAAAAAAAAAATCATTTTTAGGGTTGGGGGCATGGCTCAATTGGTAGAGCACCTACCTAGCAAGTGTGAGGCTCTGAGTTAAAAAACCCAGTACCACCCAAAACTAATAATTTTTATGTGGATTTAGAAAGGATCATTTTTCACTTTGCGTTTTTATGTTTATATAAATTTGACAAAAAACAATTTGGAAGGGGCATTTCAAAGATGTTCAAAGTTAGTACAAATGTACACTAAGTACTCCTTTAAATGCAATGTCAAATGAAAAATGGCCTCTATAAATGAGTGGATCAATACTACTAGCCCTGGGAGAATTTAAGGCCACATTACTGATTAGAAGAAAATTGAATTTGCCTTTAAATGCCATTTACAGAGTGTTCTTTTTCACACCTGCAATCAAAGTTAATATAAAGTTTAAAAGTTCAGTAATCGCCTAAGGACTTCTGGATGATTATATGTTAGGTGATTATCTGCTGGAAGAACATGTTATTTCCTAATTGTGTTTTGCCTAAATAATCATCAGATAGATAATTTGGCAAAAATAAAACAAAAACCCACTAGCACAAAGATATTGCCATAGCTTGATAAGTTAACCAGTATTTCACAATAATAAATTCCAATATAGAAAAGTAACACCAGAAATTGGACAGCTCTGTAGATTAGTTAATACATCGATGTTAACTTTCTGATTTTGGTAACTATATTGTGATTATATAAGAGAGTATTTTTGTTTTTAAAAACTACATAATGGATTATTATGAAAAAAGGGACACTATATCTGCAACTAGTCTCAAATATCTCCCAAAAAAATTTATAACCATTTTATTCTGTTTGCTTTAGAGAAACAGAAAATGTAATAAAAGGGAAATGTGTGGAATTTGGGTGAAGGACATACAGGAGATCATCCCATTGTTTTCCTAACTCTTATATGAAAATAAAATTATTCAAAAATAAAAACATTAATTCTAATATTTGCATAAGAGCACTTTCATTTACATGCTCTAACTTCTTTAAGATAAAGCAATGGAAACAATTAGATGAAGATGTGTGGTCATTTCAACAACAGCCATAATCCAAAATTTCTGTTCTTTCCTTAGCATTTCTGATGAGAAAACTAAATGGTATAAACAAGGTTATTTAAATTGTTTTTCAGACCACAAAAACCCTTTATAGTCTTTAATAACATGCTAATTAAAAATTGTTAATAACCACTAAAAAGAAAACTACATGACTTGTGCCTTTAAAAAAAGACTTCTCATATATGTTCTATTTTATTTATGGTTGCAGTTAAATGACCCTATATAATTGTCAAAACTTGTCAAATTATAAACTTAATTCTATGTTATGTAAATTATACCTCAATAAAGTTGGGGGAAGTGAAAAATTTCTAAAATAAATACAGACATTTCTATACATGTTAGTAGGAGCAGAAAGTGGTTCATTTAAGGAGGTAACAGGAAAATCTTCAGGCATTTGCTGTTCATTCAAAAAACTTTTTTTGGCAGTACTAGGGTTTGAATTCAGGGCCTTGCGCCTGGTAGACGGGTGCTCTACCACTTGAGTCATACCCCCAGCCCATCAAATTTTTTTTTGATTAAGCACCAAAATTATAGAGACAGGCTATAATCAGGGTATAGGGCACATCCACCAAGTAAGATAACCCTGATAAAATTAATTATATGGAAATGTCACCCAAATAGAATCTGGGAGTCAGGTGGACTTGAGCAGCCTGTTTTGTGCTATAACCTGACAGAAGCAGGGAAGCCCAAGGCCTGGCTTCCTCCACAAGTCATATCCATTCCTACCTTGAGCACATGGTACCAGACTGAAGTGCCACCAAAGTCAATGTGAAAGTCTGTATAGCTATCCCGCACACTCATGAGGCAGTACTTCTGCACATTGGGTCTCTCAAAGACACATTCTTCTGGCCATAGGTTCTCAACCCATGACAGCTTGCGAACAATCCTGGGTGTCTCCACAAGATTAGAAAGCCTAGCAAGGAAGGAGTAGAGAGAAAACATCAGCTGACTAGGAATTGAAGATTGGAGCCTGAATAAAAATACAATAGTGAGGGTCAGATAAGACAGAAAAAGGTCTCTCCAAAGAATCCCCAAAGGCACACAAGACACTTATTTCCATAAGTCTTGTCAGCATCCTCATTGCACTCAGTTCTCAGTCACAACTTCCAGCTTCATAGCCTTCCCCAGTGGAAGCCAATCATTTCCTCCAACACTCAAATTCCCCCTATACCTGCCCCAGTCTACTCACATGACAATTAGCATTTAACAGTTATTGTATCATCTCCATCTCATAATATCTTCTTTATGAGGGACCATTAGGGAAAGTGCTCAGGCCTCAGTTCCAGGTACAGAAGTGTTTCTCTGAAACATCTGGTTGTTTTTACTCTATTTAAAACCACAAATTCTGTAACACTGCAGTCTACTTGTTCCAATCTTCAGGAAATTCAATGAAAACGCTCCACCAACTATCTAGACATTCATACATGCATTTCATGCGCAGAGTACCTATGAGATGCATACTATTATCCCATCTTTATTTTCCTTTTGTTCCAATTTTGTCTTTTTCTCCCCTTTCTGCATCTCTGTAAGCTACCTCAGATAGTCTTTCAGGATGAAGTGAGATATACATAAACTACAGTTGTTTTTTTCCAACCACCTTTAGGTTGTTTAATCTTGCATATTTAAAAACAACTGCAAGAGGCTGGTGGCATGGCTCAAGTGGTAGAGCATCTGCCTAGTAAACGTAAAGCCCTGAGTTCAAGCCCCAGTACTGCCAAAAAAAAATCTGCAAGGGTTTTAGTATTGTTATAATTAGGTAAGATAATACCATTGTGAGAAACTATCTGAACCTTCCTGACTACTTTTCAAAGTTAAAAGTTAAAAATGTAAATAATCAAGCTTTTAAGAGCAAAAAAAATATGATTTCTTTTTTTTTTTTTTTGGCAGCGATGGGGTTTGAATTCAGGGTCTACACCTTGAGCCACTCTACCAGCCCTTTTTTATGATGAGTTTTTTCGAGATAGGGTCTCATGAACTATTTGCCCAGGCTGGCTTCAAACTGTGATCCTCCTGATCTCTGCCTCCTGAGTAATGAGGATTACAGGCATGAGCCACTGGCGCCCAGCTAAAAACAAAATATGATTTCTTAGTATTTCCCACAGTTTGGAGCACAGTGGGAATGACAGACAAATAGACATCTATAGAGTACATGAATCCAGATAAAATCATTTAAAGATTATAATATAGCTGGGTGTCAGTAGCTTACACTTGTAATCCTAGCTACTCAGGAGGCAGAGATCAGGAGGATAATGGTTTGAAGTCAGTCCTGGCAAATTTGTGACCCTGTCTTGAAAAAACCCACCAAAAAAGGGCTGGTGAAGTGGCTCAAGGTGCAGGTTCTGAGTTCAAGCCTCAGTACCACAAAAAGAAGAAAGAAAGGATTATAATATAGTTTCTTTTTCTTTTTAAATCTAAGAAACTTTATCCTCAGAGAACCTACTTAGGGTTAATTTTAGTGAATGTATTTCCAGTGACAGAAGAGTTATCCTGGCAGTTTGACAGTGATCATGCGATAATCCAAATACCAGAAAAAAGGTCAAAGAAAATTGTCCTAGGTCTTGGAGGAGACTAAAATTAACTAAAATACTGTGTAATCTAAATAATATTAGATATTAGGGAGGAGAAATATGTCTCAGTTGTTATGTTAGTAGCTACTGTAGAAAGTATAAGACAGCTCCCCATCCCAAAGGAAGAAATCACCAGGAAGAAGGAAAGACCTACAATCCCAGCTACTAAATGGTAAGATTGGAAGGATTGCGGTTGGAGGCAACCCAGGCAAAAAATTAGCAAGAAGACATCTAAATCTATAAATTAGGTGTGGTGGTACATGCCTCTGATCCCAGCTACACAGGAGGCAAATGTAGGAGGATCACAGTCTGAGGCTGGCCCTAGGTTAAAACACCAGACCCTATCAGAAAAATAACTTAAGCAAACAAAGAGTAAGGGTGTGACTCAAGTGGTAGAGTACCTGCCTAACAAACATGAAGGCTTGAATTCAAAGCCCAGTACTGCCCTCCCACCGAAAAAAGAATATACACTCAGCATACCACATGTCCAAGACATATTGTCAATATTGTCAGGCTTTTTTGCTACCCTTGCCCTCCTACCTGGTATCAGAGAATTCCAAGCTAATGACATTGAGGACTTTCTCCCTCTTGCCACTGTAGTAGTATTTCACAAAATCACCAAGCTTCATCTTGCAGTCAGCCTGACGGGTCACATCAATTACATCAATCTCTTTGTCAGAACCTAAAGTAAAGAGATGAATTCTGTAGCAAGTAGTCTCAGGAACACAGGAAGACGCTTGCCATCCTCATTACCTTAGTCTCTTAGAGTGGCTTTATACTCAGACACTATATTTGGGGAGGCAGGGTAAGGAATCCATCACACTCTGCCTAGACCTATGTGATGGGTTCAAACCAGCTAAGGCTGTGGAACCACCTGACACAGAGACTCACACATAGTACAGTCTACCTGCCTGGGCCTTCCTTTCTCATTTCTTCTCTTCCTCTCTCCCCAGAAGTTGCCCAGAAAACTAGCACGTGTGAAAAAGAGTCAAAGATTTTCTTGTCTCAATAGAGGACAGACAGACCATGATCCCTAAAATTCCCTAGGCAAAAAAATGGGGCTCAGCTGGGTGCTGGTGGCTCATGTCTGTAATACTAGCTACTCAGGAGGCAGACAACAGAAGGATCACAGTTCAAAGTCAGTCCAGTCAGATAGCTCATGAGATCTTTTTTCAATAAAATATCCAACACCAAAAGGCTGGCCAATACAGCACATCCCCAGCAAGCATGAGGCCCTCAGTTCAAACCCCAGTACTTCCAAAAAATGGGACTCAACCTAATTTTATGTGGTCTATGAAGAGGAGAAGAATGAAGAAACTAGAATTTTGCCTCTAGCTTTGCCAAGGAACTACTCTGAGCAAGGCATTTCACCTCAGATTTCCAAGATAGCTAGAAAGCAAATGTAAAAGGTGGATTGGAGGGGAAGGAACAAATCGTGACAGGAGTGGATAATGTCAGTTAACAGGGTCTGTAGTGTCTTACCAACATAGTGTTCCACATCCCTCACAGTGAATGATGGTGAAGGCAGTGTCATGCCCAATCCCTCCTTCTTCAAGACCAGGATAGGGACACTGAAGCTATTCTCCTCCAGGAATTCCACAGTCAGCTGAGTCCCAGTGGGCTTCAGAATTACTTCATCTGAGCTGTGTGGGTTGCAGGAAAGAAATCCTGAGTCCAAAGCTCTGCTCATTAAGGACTTACTGATGCTGTCACTCACTCAAGGGGTAGGGTCTTCCTGAGGAGGCAGAATATGAGCTGACAACTAATGGCATAAACCTCATGTGCTGGGCTGGCAGAGCCAGCAGGTAGAGCACCTGCCTAGCAAGCGTGAGGCTGAGTTGAAACACCAGTACCACAAAAAAGTAAATTAATTAATTAAAAAATAAAATTCTTCTGCAAGGAAAGCTGTAATAATAAATCAGTAAGATCATCAATAACACAAACAACAACAAAGGCTGGTGAGGATGTAGGGGGAAAGGAACACTTTTACACTGCTTGTGTGACTATAAATATAATAAGTACAACTGCTATGGAAAGCTACACACACACACACACACACACACACACACACACACACACACACACACACACACACACACACACAGTGGAGTTTTACTTCGTCTCCAAGAAGAATGAAATTGTTGTTGTTTGCAGGTAAATGGATGGAACTGGAGAACATCATGTTAAGCAAAGTAAGCCAGGCTAAAAGAGTCCAAGGTTGCCTATTTTCCCTCACTTGTGGAAGCAAAACCTGTTAACTTAAATGTACACAGAAATACATATATGATCATGTGTATGTATATATACATACAGAGAGAACAAGATTGAATTAATGGGTCTGTCTGAGGGGACTGACTATGGGAGGCAGGAGAGGGAAAGAAAATGTTAGAGAATGAAAAATACTGAAACATCCCATCTATATATGAACAGAATATAATGTAATGCACTGTAAGCTGTTGAATAACAGGGGAGCATGGTGATAGAGTAAGGTAAGTAATGCAGGAGGGTTAATCTGATTAAAGTACAATATATACATGTCTGAAATGCCAAGGCGAAGCCCCTGTGGACTATTAATATATACTTAAAAAAAATAAAAGGCAGGGGGGTAAAATAGGTATTTTCCGGGGGTAGGTACTAGTGCGGGGGAGGCAGAAGGAAAGGGTGAGAAGATGAGGGTGAATATGGTGGATGTATTTTGCATTCATCCATGGAAACAAAGGAATGAAACTTGTTGAAATTGTCCTAAGAAGGGGGGAGAATGATGGAGAGGGTAAATCTAACAAAGCTATATTGTAAGCACATATGTAAATATCACAATGTATTCCCCTGTACAGCTATTATATACTAATAAAAAATAAATCCTCAACACAAGCAGATAGTTAACTAAGAGTTATAAATGTATAAAAATCTATCTCCTTCATAATTAAAATAATGCAAGTAGAAACAATAAGATTGTTTTTTATCTTATCAGAAAGGCAAAAAATTTAATAATAAGTAATGTTGGCTGGGATATAGGAAAATTTAGATCTTTACAAATTGTGCAAGTGTGAAATGGTACATCGCTATAGAAACAATTGGCAATACTTACAAATATTTAAAAAGCACATCCTCTTAGACCAAACAATTTCACTTTTAGATAGTCAATCTACACATGTACTTGTCACACATGCAAAAATTTAAATACAAAGATACTCACTGCAGTATTTTCCTTAATTTCAAACATGGTTAAGTAAATTAAATATTCATACAAGGTAATACTAAATAGCCATAAATGGAATGAAGAACACTTGTAAGAGCTACTAATATCTAAGATATATAATTTAGGTTTAAAAACAAAAGATGCAGAATATAGTGTTCTCATTTGTATCAAGAAATGAAAAAAGGATATACAAACATGTTTGTATATGCAAAAACTATTTTTGAAAGAATGCACAAGAAATTGGTAGACTTAGGAGAAGGGACCTGAGGGGTCTGGGGTAGAGAGGAGACTTACAGCCTTTCAAGAAACAAAAACAAGACAGGTACCAGTAGCTCACACCTATAATCCTAGCTACTCAAGAGGCAGCGATCAGGAGGATCATGGTTTGAAGCCAGCCTGGGCAAATAAACCATGAGACACTATCTCGAAAATACCCAACACAAAGAAAGGCTGGTGGAGTGGCTTGAGCTCAAACCCCAGTAACACAAAACAAATTACACTGAAGAAATACTTAATCCAAGTAACAAAACAGTTACAGGATACCTAAAAATGGTCCAATGAATTAAAACTAAGCAGAAGAGTGTTCTTTATCTATTATTTTTTGTTTTTTTCTTTTTTGTTTCATGTCCATTAATTTATTAGCTCATTATTTTTGCTCAATTCCTGAATTACTTAGTTTTTAATAAGGTCACCTTAATAATCCTTTTTGACTGAAAAAATATTTAATGGCTCAATTTTTAATTTTTTTTCCTTTTTTTTTTTTTTTGGTGGTACTAGGGTTTGACCTCAGAACTTCACACTTGCCAGGCAGGCACTCTACAGCTTGAGACACTCTGACAGCCCTTTTTTGTGTTTAGTATTTTCGAGATAGGGTCTGGAGAACTATTTGCCTGGGCTGGCATCTAACTGTGATCCTGCTGTTTCCTGAGTAGTTAGGATTACAGGTGTGAGCCACCAGCCCTCAGCTCAATTTTTTAATTTTTAAAAATATTTTCCTCTTCTCTACAATGAGACAAATGTGCTGATCTTTAAGAATCTTTCCAGACATGAACAAAATGGAAACTATTAAGGATGTGGAAGGGGAAAAGGGGGAGGTGGGAGGGGGGGATAAGGGTAACAGAAGGGATAAATATAATGAAAGTATATTATATGCATGCATACAAATGCTATAATGAAACCCATTACTGTATATAACCCATTACTTTGATAACATATGCTAACAAAAAAGGCAAAAAAAAGTCCTTCTAGTTCTAGCATTCGTTGGGTATATGTAAATATCTCCTCACTAAGACGAATACTGCCTCCCAGATACGTCAGGTTTGTTTAAGTGGACTCTAGGGACTGTTTCTCAGAACCTAACCAAAACAAAATATTTCACCCCAGAGGAAACTTGCAGAGCCCAGATGTCCACAAATGGTAGAAACTCCTAATGGCACAGCCAGTAGGAAAGCTGAGAAGAGATGGGTTCCAGTGTCCCAGACCCCTACCATTCATCATCTCTTTCAGACAGGGGTTCTTACCTGTCAAAAGTCCTGCTCCGGAGCTCTCTAATGAACATAGGGCTTCCAGTTTTCACTGGCTTCCCCTTATGTGTATCATGCCCCTTTGAAGATCCACGGCGTTTTTTCACTGTCAGAAAAAACATGAAGTCAAGAGTCAGAATGGCCATGAACTGTGATTCTAAGAACAAAGGCCACACAGTAGATTCTTCCTCTCTTCTAATCTAACAATCCTGGGAACATCTGGAATCAATGAGGCCCTCAGAGACTTAACAAAGTTCCTGGTAGAGAGGGGTGCTTCTTCTAGACAATCCCTGGGAAGGGAAGGGAAGTAAAGCTATGCACTTCCACCCTCTCAGCAGGGTAGCTGTTGGCTTGTAGGGCTGCTATTTCCTAAGGAAGAGGAATCTGAAGCACTCAGGCAAAGGTAATGGTGGCCCATACAAGATTTCTTTGCTTTGTCTCTCATTGGGCCAACTTCTGACCCTTAGATCTACTTACTAATGGAGGGCCCATGTAAGACCTCACAGTTGGGGCAGTGGTAGAGGTCAATGTCAGCAGCCTTCTCTTCTTCAACACCAACACAACTGGAAAAGAGAAAAACAGCCAGGATTTATAAAAATATAATTTTTTACCAGGTGCCAATGGCTCACACCTGTAATCCTAGCTATTCATAAGGCAGAGTTCTGGAGGATTGTGATTCGAAGCCAGCTTGGGCAAATAGTTCTACAAAACCCTATCTCAAAAAAACCGTTCAGAGAAAATGGATGGTGGAGTGGCTCAAGGTATAGGTCCTGAGTTCAAATCCCAGTTCTGCAAAAAAAATTAAATTTTTATAAAGTCTAGAACAGTGTTGTCCACTACAGTAGTTATTAATACATATGGCTATTTACATTTAAATTAATTAAAATTAAGCAAATTTTAAAATACAGTTCTTCTATCACACTAGTTATATTTCAAATCTTCAGTAGCCATGTGTGATTACTGGGTCTGTACTGGGCAGATTACCAAACATTTTCATTAGTGCAAAAATTCTAATGGTCTAAAACAATTATGACAGAGTTTCATTAAAGCTTAAGACTCAAAATGGGGGCTTATTAGGTGTGGCTCAAGTGGTAGATCATGAGGCCCTAAGTTCAAACACCAGTAATGAAAAATTTTAAAAAAGCTAGAAGAGACTATACACCAGCACTATCCAAAAGAAATATAATTGGAACCATAAAGGTAATTTAAAATGTTCTAAATACCCACATTAAAAAGGTAAACAGAAATAGGTGAAATAAAATTTAATAACCATAACCCAACATATTCAACATTCTATTTTAACATATAACCCAAATTTTAAACTTTACTGACATAGTTTATTAAATGAAAAACATTAAAAATTATTATTTTTTTTATTATTCATATGTGCATACAATGCTTGGGTACTTTCTCCCCCCTGCCTCCACGCCCTCTGCCCCCTCCCTCTCCCCCCGACCCTCCCTCGATTTTAGAGTCAACAGTTGTGAGTGAAATAATCACTTCTTGCTTCCTTATCTATTTCTTTTCCTTATGTATTTTCTAAGTCTCTATAATGAACATGTTAATTTATATTTTATTTAATTTTGAAAAATTGAGTTTGCATGCATGTGAGGTGGTAATCTCACAAAATTAAATAAATCCTTCCCTCATCAAGGAAGGTGGCAGTAGCCCTTCAAATAACTTCTGGCTAGGGTTAAAATCCTAAGATCTTTGGTCAGCCACACACAGCAGGGAGCATAAAAGTATGGCAGAGTGCAAACTATCAGCCAAGACCATACTCATAAATTTCCTAGGATCTAGTCCCCTCCCTTCTCCATCTTCCCAAACAATAATCTTAAGCTTGTAAAACTAACATATCAAGAAATTGGGGCTATCCCTACCAACTTTGTAGGGTTTTTCTTGAAGGATTTAATCAGATAATGTATACAATCACTTTTTTGGGCAGTACTGGAGTTTGAACTCAGGGCTTTGGGCTTGCTAGGCAGATGCTCTATAGCTTGCCCCAGATAAGATATATAAAGTGCATAGCACATTGAGTACAGATCTGTTACAGAATAAATAATAAGTGATAGCTAATATTATTTCTTCACCCAGTCCAGACCTCACCCCTCACCTGCCTAAACCTTCGATGTTTGTTTTTTGAGACAGCATCTCATTGTGTGGTCAGGGATGGCATGGAAATCCTAATCCTCCTACCTCAGTCTACTGAGTGCTATTATTATAGGTATGTGCTACCATGCCCAGCCTAATCCTTGACACATACATTCCCCAGACCTTGTGGCATTAACTCACTTCTTTGGAATACATGATTTATGTCTCAAACCCCTGCTATCCTTGGACTCGACTCAAAAAGGAAGATCCTCTAGTCATCACTCCTGAACTTTCATCCCTTATAACTAGCTATGTGTTTTCTCTACTCCAAATACCCACTGCTTATCTCTGCTCCCAATTTTTCTGTCATACTCTCAGCTTTCCCATCCCCTGGTAAGCTGCTCTAGTTTCTCCTTCAACAAATCCTCCTTCATCTTCTTGGCTTAACTGAATGTGGTTTCGTCTACAAGAAAACTATTTTCTCTATACCAGTGCCACTCAAAGTGTGGTCCACAGACTAATGCTGGTCTGTGAACTATTTACTACCTGTCTGTGTTAAGTATAGAAAATGGGACCAAGCATTACTTTACAGCAGTTTAGAAGAATAATTTTCTATTGACTGAATCTAATAGTAAAAATCCAGGGCTTGTATTTTGCATGGCTTTTTCTTCATACTGTTTTTCTAGTAATTCATTATTTGTTTTAAAAAAGGATCAGTCCAGTATAGTCTGGAAATAAAGAAAAAAATACCCTGATCCTTCATCCACAGTCTAAGAAGCACTGTGCTAGAGACCCATCAGGTAGAAGCTGTACATTCTCTCACATATTCACTACTCAAGTCTGGGCTGAGTACACACTCCCCTCACCCTCCAATGAGACTTTGAGATCATCTCTCTACCTTTGTGTAAGATCTCCCACTTCTCTGAGTTTCATACCAGCAGCCATACCATTTTCGACTTCTCTTTATCATTGCCAACTACCCATCTACCCAACATACTCACTGAAGAACCTACTCACAGATGCTTCTTCACCCCAAGTCTTGTCAATATCCTACATGATATCACTATCAATGCGGGGGCCGAATATCCCAGGCTTTTCTCATCTTCAGACAGTTACCAACTACCAACTCTAACAGCTCTCCCCCAGACCTTGTTGATACCAGCATTGCATCACTTCTGAATATGAAATGTATACATCATTCTCTCTGAGCACAAGTATATTTATTCAGCTCTCATTCACTATACCTTTGTCCTCAAAATCCCTTAATCCTCCCATTTATTCTTGACTTCATCCTACCTCCCTATCTAGTTTATTATTTTTGGGGGGACAGTACTGGGGTTTGAACTCTAGGCGTTATGTTTGCTAGGCAAGCACTCTTATCACTTGAGCCACTCCGCCAGCCCTATTTTATATTAGGTATTTTTAAGATAGGATATCTCCAACTATTTTGCCTAGACTGGCTTCTAGCTGTTCCTTTTAATCTCTGCCTCCTAAATAGCTAGGATTACAGGTGCGAGACACCAGTGTCCAGCCCTCTCTAGTTTAGATTCCAGCATCAGCCATTCTCTTTCAGATATTCTTATTTGCCCCACTATCTTTCACCCCACATTCAAACCCCAACCCTAGCTCATCAGTTCAACCTCATAACACTGGACCCCTAGACATAATTAAAGAAAAAAAATCACTCATGGACTGGTAACACAACAAGTTCACTGTCCAAAATATCTGCATCGTAGTACCTGATAAACCCAGCTCTTTTTCCCAGGATCCACAATGGATTTCAAATATCTGACACCACTACCTCACTTCTCTCCTTCTTTCTGCGCAAATGATCTTTGCTTCCTACTACTTATAGAAAATGAAGTAATCAGATGGGAACTACCTTGACTTTCCATCACCAAATCTACATCCTTCTACATCCATCCCTCCCTCCTGTAACAATGAAAGTGCTAACTTTCCTTTGTTCTTCTAAAGCCAGTGTTTGTACCCACTCACATCTTTTCTTACCTTCTCAATCATCCCTTCTTTCTATAGTGTATTCAACCTCGTCCTCTCTACCTTCTCCTTCATAATAGCATTTAAACAAGCTCACAGATCTTAAACAACAAAAAGACCCATCCACCCACTTTCCCTCCCTCCCTGCCCTTCTACCCCTTCACAGCCACACATTTCTGTTTAAACCTATGCAGCTTCATCTGACCTTTTTTTTTGGAATAGGTAACAGTTTGAACATGGTACAAAACTCAAAAGGTACATAAGTATATGCAATGGAAAGTCTCCCTCCCATACATAGCTGTTTAGTAATATCCAGAGGTGTTCTATCAGAGTCAAACTGGTAGCAGGATTTTTTTAGGGTTGCTATACCCTAAAAATTTCTTGTCCTCTGCTGTAGTCTGATTTTAGTGCCCACCTTGTTTAAAACAGATCTCACCAATGTCCTTCTGACTTCCTTGTTGATATATCCAATAAGTACTTCTCTCCTTTACCTTACTTTACCTCTTATCAGCATTTCCACACCTCCAGTCCTAAACTCTCTCCATAGACAAGCTCTCCATTTTTAACATCCATAATACCCCATCTGCCTGATACCTATTCCTTCAGCTAACATTTAATGAGCATCTTACAGGTCCCAAAGTGTTTCAGATTTCAGAGGTTTTCAAATTTTGAAATATTTGCATACTTTACTGGTTGAGCATCTCTAATACAAAAATCTGAAGTTCGGAACATTGCACATTAGAAATGTTCAACCTCTCTATTATACACATATATAATGGTCACAAAGAATGGTATTGGTGGCAGAATATTAGGTAGGGAAGTCAGGGAGGGACTGACAAAATGACTTTTGAATAAATATATGAAGGTAGTAAAGGAGCAAGTCATATGGTTTTATAATACTCCAGTCAAAGAGAACAGCAAGTACAAAAGCCCCATGGCATGAAAATGTCTAAAATATTCAAGCAACACAAAGGAGTAGCACATGGGGGAGGGTGGCAGGGGGGAGAAATGACCCAAACAATGTATGCACATGTGAATAAATTAATAATAATAATAATAATAATAATAAAGGAGCAGCATGATTTGGAATGGAGAGTGGGAGGACAGTAATGGGTCAGGAAAGTAATGAGTTCATGTAGTAGGGGCTTATAGGCCATTATAAGGACTTTGGCTTTTCCTGAGTTAAAAAACTGGGGAGCCACAGAACTGTGGCTGTTCCTTTTGTTTCCCAATGAACTCTTTTTCTCCTGCTCAGTCCTTAAATATTACCTGAGCATTACTACCTTGCACTTCTTCACTGATCTCACTCCCAGGACACTATATCCCCTGTATATATACATGCATTTATAACTTCAAGACAGAGCTCACCACTGAATTTCAGACCTTTTCTCCAAATTTCTCCTGGTGCAAACTCAATTTCTTCCCTTGCTGAATTGCTATACCTGCTCCCTCTGTTAGGTTCCCTACTTCAGCAAAA